GCAGTTTAGGCTCATACAACCGAAGAGCGTTTTATTTTAAAAGTTAATAAAAATATATGAAAATGATCATAAAAAACCATGACAAACCATGTTTGATCCTTGGAAGTCCCCAAATTTAAGTGGGGGCATATTTTGACAAAAAACAGTTTGGCCGACACAGGGTGTGTCACCCAGGCGGCACTGGTTGTGTTGCCCTGCTAATTTTTTTTTTTTGTTGTTGAAGGTTTGGGAATAAAAACAAGGAGGTTTTGACAAAAAAAACTTGGGCGACATCAATGGTGTCACCCATACAAGTTGGGATTTAAATGGGATATGAGAGATGTGGGCGACACGTGTAGTGTCGCCCACACAGGGCAAAAAAAATATTTATTTATTTATTTTATTATTATTATTTTTTTTTACTTTTGGGAAACTTGGTTGGTAGTTTAGGCTCATGCCACCATGGAGTATTTTTATATTTTTGAATTTTTTTAAAATTTTCTGAAAAATTGGTTGGCAGTTTAGGCTCATGCCACCAGGGAGCGTTTTTATTTTTTTGATTTTTTCTTGAAATTTTCTTGAAAATTGGTTGGCAGTTTAGGCCCATGTCATAGAGGAGCATTGTCTTTTTTATTTTTTATTTTATTTTATTTTTGAAATTGGTTGGTAGTTTAGGCTTGTGCCACGAAGGAGCGTTTTATTTTAAAACTGGATACAACCATTGTATGAGATCACTATATATATATATATATATATACATATATATGGGAATGATTTCATGTAACGGTTGTATAGTAGTATAATGCAACCACACATTTAGAAAATCATATATTTTGGCATTTGTATGACCCCAAATTTTATACGCACATTCTCTTCATCCTTATAATCAATCCTACGAAAACAAAATTCAATTTGCACCCTAGATATTGTCAAAATTAGTACCCATTTAATAATGATCCTCGACCATATATTTGGTGAATTTCAAGGTCGAGGCCTTAAAAAATTTAAAATTATTTTTCTCTTTTTTAGCATTATTAATCTAATGATGATAAGACTATATAAAAATTTTGGGACTAAAAAAGTCCTTCTGAGGCCTATATCTAACCATCTCAATAAAATGGACGGCTTATATTAATTGGGTTAGAATGAAACTTT